TAAACTACGCAAAAAAAAAAAAAAATTTTTAAATAGAGAAAACAAGTAAAAAAAAAGAAAATTGATATTCTAAAAATGGTTAGTTACATTGATTTTTATAAAAAAGTCCCTTCCTTTTTTATAATTTTTTACGACCCAATGATAATAATTGCAGTGGAGGTGAAATTCTACTTATTTTTGAAATCTAATAAACGTTTATGAAAAAAAAGAGAAGATAAAAAAAGAAAAACTAAAAATGATTCTAATAGTAAAGTAGATTACTAAAAAGCAAATTGATTATTTCAAATTGAAGGATTTGCTATGAGTTTCGATTGAATAGCAATCACGTTTGGAACTCCAATTTCAGGCTAAAACAAAATAAGATTTAATTTAATTAATGGAAAGAATGATTTAAATAATATGTAAACGAATCAATTAAAAAAACTGCTTTACTCTATCATCCAAATTTTTAGCTATGATCATAGAATCATCAAAGTCATTTTCATCTTCATCCAAGTAATTCTCTTCGTCCTCATATTCAATATCATCATCGTTTAATTCTTGCAATTCCATTCCTGATTCAATTTGTTCTGACACTAGCATATTACTATTATTATTATTATTGGTATTGGAGTTGATATTAATATTATTGATGTTAACATTAATATTAATAATATTAATTATATTGGCATTAGCATTATTGACATTATTGATAATGTTATTAAGCTCGATTATTTGATTACTATTATCATTGTTATTATTGTGATGATGTGCTAGCAGTGGTGGTGAAAGAGGTATTGCTGGGAGCACTTGTGCTGGTGGTGGTGGTGCTGATTGTTGCATATGATGATGGTGGTGATGATGATGATGCTGATGATGATTATTATGAGCTCTTTGATTTATCGATAATTGTTGTCTTGGTTTAATGATACGAGTTTTTTTCTGTTTAATTAACCTACACTGATAAAAACCACATTTTTCCGACCATCCATCTCTACAAACCCAACAAAATCTATATCCACAATGTAAACAATCAACTTTATTGCAGCCATCATCACGATTAATTAATATTGAACAGTTTGGACAAGATTTAGAATTTTCAAGTTTCCATTTAATAATTTCCAAAGCATCTACAGTGTTGTTGTTTATATTATTATGATACGTAGCTTGAGTTTTTGAATTATTCATAATAAATAGATGAGGGTTCGCTACTTTGTAACGCATAAATTGAATACATGTCATTCCTGGATGATGAGTAGATTCACCACATTGAAGACAAATATCATTGTAACACTTGGTGCTATAAATAAATAGTATTTTATAAAAAGAGATAAATATTGAAATAAAATACATAATTTTTTTTTTAAAAAATAGATTATTAAATAGATTATTATACTTACCAACGCGACTGAGGAAAATTGGCAACATGCATAAATTGTAATTCTTTCCAAGATTCAGGTCTAATTTCCAAAGCTACGATTTTTGAAGAGATTTCAGCCGCTGATTTTACCATATCAGAATGGATCTTTAATTTATTACGGGTAAATTTTGTTGTTGATCTTCGATTATTCATTCCGAAACTTTTTTGGGTGAAAAAGAAAATTAATTATTAAACTTTTTTCTTTTTTAAACAATATACAAGAAAATATATATATGTGGTTAATAATTACCTTAAACCAAGACAATCGCCAATTTTTTTTGCAACATATTGATACATTTCAAAAACTCCCACACCAGGATTATCATTTGAAATAAAAGTCAAGTAATCTTTCTCAAATCTTGCGATAAACATGTCAACATCACTGATATTATTTATTGTTGCAAATTGAGAATTAGCAATGCTTTTCCCTTTAAGAGGTTTATTATTATTTACACCATAAGTCTCCAAAAATTTACGAAGTAGAACAGAAATTTCTTTAAAGTATCTAATATAGTTCGTATTAATAATTAATAAGTAAACAAGAATAAATAAATCAATTGATCGATCAATCAATCAATCAATTAATAACTAATTCTTGACTAATTATTATCATTGAATCCTTACTTTTCTTTTTCTTCAGCACAAACTTGGAAAACTTTTGCAGCAAAAATTTCTTCACCACATTCATTACAACAACGTGAATACGATCTGTATGGTCTATTGTACGTATTATACAAATCAATTGTGTTTTGATCAACATACTAATAAATTATTGGTAAAAATAAAGAAAAGTTTTAGAATGCATTCTTTATTAGTTTAATAATAAAAAAAAATTGATGTACTGTACCTTGCTCCACTCTGATTGAGATATTACATCTTGACAAACAGGACATTTAATTTTAGTGATATTAAGTCCCCAAGAATTTTGAACTACTTCCTTAACATATCTTTAAAAAAAAAACCAAATAATAATTTAAATAAATAATAGAACTTTAAATATTTATGAATATCCACATAATAAATTATCATAATTACCTTTGGAAACAATCTTTACAAAATTGATCTCTACAAAGATCCAAACAGAAATCAAGTTGAGCATCAAAACATATTGAACATCTTTGCAACCAATACTCAATGTCTTGTACCGAAGTTAAATTATCACTGCCACCCTCCCCTCCGTCACTTCTTTGTGAAGAAGAAGAGGATGAGCCTGAACTAGTTGAGGAAGACAGATTGAATAAAGAAGAAGTAGTGCTAGTAGTAGAAGTGCGATATTTGCTGGAAGTTAAGCTGCTACCAATTGCTATTGTCTTAGAAGCAAAAAACTGCAATGACCTGACGAATATTGCTGGCACGATCTATAACAATTCCAATGAAATGAAAAAGAGAGAAAAATTTTTTTTAATGATAATGATATATACTTGAACTATTATTACAAACTATTGTTATTGCTATTATGTACAATGATTAGTATGGATATTATGAATTATGAACTGTTATTGTTATTGTTATTATTAATATAATGTCAATAGTAAAATTACAATCTCTGAAGGAAATAATATTAGCGATCTAATGTAAAATTCGTTTATTAACATATAGCAAGTTTTCATCTCATTCAAATTAAAAAGTATTAAAGAAGTAAATAGTTGATAGCAATAGCAATAATAGTTATAAAAATAGTAGTACTTACCAAAGTTGGAGAAAAGATGTAAAGAAAAGGTAAAGTATAAGCGAGCAACAAATTAGTTATAGAGTATTGTTTAAGATTTGTGTAAATGGGAGAAAAATAATAAACGTAATAATTGGTAGACAAATTTTGATTGCCTAACACCAAAAGTCGAAAAGGAAGTGAGTTGTATAGAGTATGATAGAAAGATGATGCCAAAAGATCCCAATGGTGGTTATTGTTGACCGATTCAAAAGAAGGGAAAGAATTAGAATTAAATAAATTCAGTGGTTTCATTTGATTATCAATTAATATATATATATATATATATATATATATATTTAATATTTATATATTATATATTATATAATACTATATTTATCTCTTATCTAACTAATATACAACAAAAAAAATTTTTCTAGCCCTTACAGTGGAGTGTGGAGTATGTATATGGACTTTGAAATCAAAAAGTTTTTGAATATTAAATAAATAAATAAATAAAATAATAAATGGTGAGTAAATAATAAATATAATAATTACAATTATATTTTAATTATTTTCTCACTTTTACTTCTTTTTTAAAAAAATAAAGCTTCTAATGAAAAATATGAATTTGGAGCAAGTGACATTAAGTTTCATCATGAGAGGGACCACATCACAAGATAAAAAAAGAAAAAATTTATATAAAATAAATTTGTTTATGTGTAACGTACGTAGGTTATAAATAAACACTTTTCTCCCTTTTTTCACAACCAGATAATTTCATCATCTGTAAAAAATCTGAAAACTATTTTTTTTCGATCATGTGACAAGATAATTTTTTTTTATTATTCTTTCCTCCCTATATATACAATACATCATTAAAAACTTATTCCTTCGCTACATGCCAACTCAACTCTCTGATTTTCAACTTTAATATACATATGTGTGTGTGTTTTTAAATTATATAAAGATGATAAACAAGACATAACAAAAGAACTAAAGTTCTATTAAAATCAGCTGAGAAAGTAAAGGCAGGCATTACTGCATCATAAATGTCGCATGAGGTTGTATCCTCGATAATATTGCTTATTGCTGCCAGTGTTGTACAAACACTAATTGTTATTTATTTAAAAAATTATTTCAATCACTTTTTTTCTTGTAATTGAAAAATAAAAACAAATAAAGTTTTAATTTAATTTATAAATATTAATTACTTTACTTAAAATAACATATTTAATCAATCTTACTTCCTATCTCTTTATAATATATTAAATACACGTTGTAGCTTTTTGAATTGAGATAAGAACGGCTTCTTTATTGAGAAACTAATGATGCTGTCTTAGTTTGGCTAGATTGCATTTTTTAGTCTGCAGTGTATTGCAAATTTGCGAATCTGATTTAAAATTAGCCGAATATAAAATCCGTTGCTCATCATTAATCTTCAAAATTCATAAGTCAATTCTTCATGATCATAACGGTCACTCCCAACATCTTATCATTTAAGCATCTCACTCGATTCCCAAAATTGAATCCATATATATATATATATATCCAATTCAAAATTTGCATATTATTTCCATTCATTCACTAAATGAGAAAAATTTCCTACGTGACACGATATTATTTTTTGGTTACTATTACTAATACCGTATGTTTGCCGGAAATAAGCAACAAAATTAATATTAACGCGTTTTTGGTTTCTTTGAATTCACAGATTACACGTTTCTGATCTTTTCTTATTATTATTATCATGTTAGAGATGCCTTTGATTCTTTGAGTCATCGCCGTTATTATATTATTTTTTTTAATTTGTTTCTGGAACCTTCTTAACATATCCTTTTAAATTCACATGATAATCACGTGAACATGACCTTCATATTACTATTTGTGGCGTCTAGCAAATTTAACCCCGAAATCTTTTATTGTAAATTCTTTAGTTTCATATTTACTATCATGGCCAAAGCAAATAAAAATCGCGAAGCAAAACTTCTTTTCGAAGAAAAAGAAGTAATACTGTGTTTTCACGGGCCTCTGCTTTATGAGGCAAAAGTAAGATTTTATTCTTTCTTGTTGTATTCGATTTCAACAACTATATGAAAAAACTCAAGGAAATAAATTAGAATTAAATAAAATCATTTAACGATCCAATTATGTTGTTTTGTTCATTCTATAAACCTATTGTTTGTACGCGTTTTTTTTTTTTTTTGGTATTAGATTATAAAAGCAGAGAATTGGGCGCCAGGTGATTCTAAATCAGGAGAACTTGGTCCTCATTATTTTGTACATTACAAAGGCTGGAAAAATACGTAATCGTCTTTATGATATATATATATATATATATATATATAATATAATATTATCACAATAAATTAATGATGATAATAAATATAGGTGGGACGAATGGGTATCAGAAGATAGGGTTGTAAAAATGAATCAGTCAAATCTAGCCAAACAAAAACAACTCAAGGAGTCACATGCAATCATGAAAAAAAGAAAAATTGGCAAAAAAGCAATCCAACAACAAAATCAACAACCTGTTGTTGAGAAACCCACACCACGTACAAAAAAACGTCAAAGAGCAGACTCTGTTAATGGTAAGTAATAAAATAAGAATTTTATTTTTTTAAGATTGAGATTAAAAACATTTTATTAATGTATTATGATGTTATTTAATAGATGATGGAAATGATGATGGTAATATTAATAATAACAATACGTCATCAGGAATACAAGATGTTGGACAAGCTCATGATAATAAACAAGATAGAAAAAGAAAGAAAGTTGTAAAGGATAATGAAGAAGTATTTTATGCACATTCTATTCAAAATTATTGATTTGATTTTAGACATAATTTGAATATTTTTTAATGGATAATAATAGTCAACCTTCTTTTATTAAGCGGGAAAAGGAATTTATGAAACTTCCAGAAATCCAAATAGTACTTCCTCAACGTTTAAAAGAAAAATTAATAGATGATTGGGCAACTATTATGAGAGACAAAATTGTAAATTTTTAACAATAATTTCTTTAATTGTATATAACAAAATGGTCTAATGAAGAGCAATTAATTAATCAATGTTTATTGTATTTAAAAAGTTATACCATCTGCCTTGTTCGATTACTGTGGACGAGATATTAGTAGATTATTTGAATTATAAACGTGGTATTACTTCTTCCACTTCTGGTGATAACTCATTGTCTTCTTCTACATCCTCATATTCTTTATCTTCCAAAAATGCTTCAAAATCGAACGATTATACATCTTCAAGGTATGAAGTAATTTATTTTTTTGTTGGCTTTCCTAGAATAAATCTGCATTATTAAGCCATCAAACCATTAATAGATTATTCAAGGATGTTCACGAGGAAATTACGAATGGAATTCAGGCTTATTTTAACACTTGTTTGGATACTATGCTCTTGTATGATGAAGAAAGAGTTCAAAATGAAGATGTTCACAAAACTTATCCGGACAAAGAATGGTCAGAAATCTATGGAGCAGAACATTTGTTAAGATTATTTGGTAAATTATTAATTACATATAAATAAATATCTTGAAGATTAAAAAGTAAAAGAACGAGCGCCAATAGATTTATTTGTTTGATTTATTATTCAGTTGAACTTCCAAAATTACTTGTTCACACTGATTTAGATGAAAAGGCTATGGATATCCTTAAAGGACACTTGGCAGACTTCTTAAAGTATGTCCATTTTCAATCAGATATATTACCTTACTCTCGAGTTATTAACTGTATTATTAATATTATTATTATTTATAGATTTTTTGAAAAAAATAGATCACATTATTTTGTGGGAATGTATGAACATGATTTGAGTATTCCCCCTAACAAGAAATTAAAATCTAGTGGCAAGAGAGCAGGTAAAGTAGATAAATACGTTTATGAAAAATATCAAAACATTTAAAAATTAATATATCAAGATTTTTTTTCCTTCCAAATCTCAAAATATATAGCAAAATCTTACTGTACAAATTGTAGAACATTCAATTCGCCTGATTGGCATGCTGGAGAAACTCCTGATCAAATACTTTGTAGCAGTAACTTATCAATCTACTTATATATATATATATATATGCTACTAGCTATTAATTATTGATTATAATGGCTATCAATTACTCAATTACTGATTGTTGATTGATTACATTAAATTTCTAGTTTGTGCGCTTTATTATCTAAAACATAAAACTCATAGACCCGAAAGTCTTTGGAATAGACATTACGAATCTTCGTCTTCCTCATCATCTGCATCAATATCTGCTACATCGCCTGTATCTGCATCTACCTCTCCTGTAGCATCTCCATCTGCACCAGCATCCTTAACAACTTCTTCTCCACCAACCCCAGTCCCGTCACCTTCAACTCCATCTCCATCTACTTCGGATGATGGCATCCTTAGTTAGTAAATTACGGCAGTAATAATAATATTTAAAAAACTTTGCTATATGAGTTGATTGATTTCTAATTAAAAAAAGTATTAATATATATAACAAAATAAATAAGCTTATATGATTTTCTTTTTTCTTTGACAAAATTATATATATATATTATGTATATAGCTAATTAATCAATAATTTGTATATATGATGATGATAATATTAATTATTTTTTCTTGCAAATAAAAATTTGCGATTTGGCTATAAAAATGTTAACATATATAACTAATGACTTCAATCATGTTAACAATCACGATCGCTAGTAAATACTTTCACTCTTTAACAAGAAAGTCACGCGCTTGAAGTGGAATATCAAATCATTGGCATTACTTAATCAATACTTGTGACTTACATTAATATTACAATATTATATATACACTTATTAAATCCACTTGATGATACAGTTTCTAATATGAATTAATCAATAAGATTATCATCACCATTTTAACATTAAACAACAAATGTTATATTATAATTCTTATTATTGCTTTGCTAAATCTAAATCATAAATATCCGTTGCTTTCTTTTTTCTTCTTATAAAGTGATAATAGATATATTAATGAGATAGTTAGATATGAATAATCATTGTAATATAAAATATCATTAATGTTAAAATGCTGCGTACGAATATATGTTATATGTTATATTATATATCACCCTACATAACATAATAGATACAATTGACGTAGTATTATTGCCATTAATAACTTTAAATAGATTTGAATCTATAATAAATGATGCTGGTCAAATAAAAAGAAGATATAAAAACCATTATTAATTATTATTATTATTATTATGATTATGACTATGATTATGATGGATGGTAATTAAAATTATAATAAATTATTATATTTTCAAAGTTTAAATTCAATAAAATAAAAATAGAACTTGTATCTATATATTTTTCAATTATTGAAAAGAAGATTCTGGAGGTATTGGTTCTTTTGGATGTTTAGCCTAATAAAATCAAAATCAAATTATTAAAATATCTTTAAAATATCTTTATAAAAAAATGTATATTTCTTATTTACCTCCATATGTTGAACAACGATTTTATAATTAGCGGCTGGACTCTTTATTAATTGATTGATTGATTGATTGTTAATAATTAGAATTATAGCTAATATAGTTAATATAATCAATTAATCTGCTATTAATTTGTTACCTTACAAACAGGACATTTCAATTGTAAACCTGCTGCACGAGCACCCAATTGAGACTTACCGCCTTGTTTAGCCTCAGCTATTTTTTGATTTTTTTCTCTAAATTTTTTTTTAGGTATTTAATTTTTTTATATAAATACTTAATTTAAATTTAAAACAACTCATCCCAACACAAACCTAGCTTGTTCCTATATTAATTATTTAATTAATTAAATTTTTTAATCGGAAAAATTTTGATTATTTCTATCCACATGTGTATATGTATGTAAAAACCAACCTTTTGTTTTCCCCTGGCCATTTGCCTAACAAATGGATCTATGACTTATATAACTTAAGATATAATAATAATTTTATTTTTTAAAAAAAAAAAATTTATTTTTTTATTTTTTATGATGACATAAAACGCCAAATATGGAAGTAATCTTCAGGGGGCAAATGTAAATAACACTAATCGACACGGCTGTTGTTTTATGAAAAAACTTATAAATAAACAATGTATGTGGGCTGTTTTAAGAGTTTTTTTGAAATTTTAGGGAAATAAAAAATCACGATTTATAATGGGGGATTTTCACATTAATACTGGATATGAAATAGATTAATGGATCAACTAATGGCCTGTGTTCATGTACATTCTATGTACGTGCATGTATATGCATGTATATTGTCGATAAGATTTTTAAATCTCGTTCATTCATATTTTATTCAGCAAATTAAAGAAAAGAAAAAATATGACTTTTAAATAATATGATTAGTTGATGCCTGCACATTTTAATCCATTCATTATAATCCATTTATTTCTTATAAATAATTCATCATCATCATCACTTTCTAATCTTAATTTTTAAACCAAGTATCTAACCAATGTTTTGTTTGTTTATTTTATTAAACCAACAATATAACCATATATATATATATATATGGCTATTATGTAATTCATAGTATGTAATTATATATTATTATATAATAAATTTTCTTCTTTTCACAATCATCCCATCGTCACATTCGTTATTGTTATTATTTATTATTATCAATAAAAAAATTAAAAAAAGCAAAAAATTGATTAATTATGAATCGACAACAGCAGGATTTGAACCTGCGCGGGTAGAACCCATCAGATTTCGAGTCTGACGCCTTAACCACTCGGCCATGTTGTCCAAGATACTATGTACAACCTTTAGTTATTTTATTCGTTTAAAATATATACCAAATAGTTTTTTGAAAGATCTTCCTGTGAATAAAAAATTTTTTTTTGATAGTTACGTGTTTATAAAACCATGAAATGAGTCGTGAATGCATGAAATATTTTTTTTGGAGAATTGTCATAGTAATATATTTTTTATGGATTTTGAGTTCAACCAATTGTTTTTTAATTTATAAAATCAAAGAACATATTAATTTGCATTATTTTCAAATTAAACGAAAAAAATAAATTGAATCATCCGCCTACTTATCTACACAGATTTTGAGGAAAAGGTATTTAGACAATTAGTTTGAATAATAATTCTAGCAATGGTAGTGCGGTACTTTTCTAAACAACTGCACGTTTAAAGAACAGGAAGTCTCGAGTTACCATGGAGTGCCCAGAAACAACCTGTGCATATATGTTGTTATGTTGTTAGTGATTGTGTCATAATTATTGAAGAAGAGAAGACAACACAACAGTTGGATTATTATCGAGTAAAAAAATTTTGTAATTCCACTTTTTAGAGATTTTGGATTAATTACGCACCACGAAACTTAATAGGAAAAGATCATTGTCAAAAATAATAATAATAATAAGGTTTTTAGGATTTCCGATCCGAATAAACAGAACCGGAAATAGAAATAAAACGATTAGAAAAATCTCTAGACAACTACTTTCTTGCTTTATCCATCACATATTAACCTAATGATTTTAACATTAAAAATAGTTTTAATCTTAAAAAAGGACATATGAAGCTTAAAAGTGGTTTTTTTGATAGTACTGATTTGCAAAGACATACACAGTCACCCTACTTTGGAGGGATTCGTGAAAATAAGAAGACGGCATCAAAGGGTTTTGGGGTTACTAGAATAGTCTAATAAGAGTTCAATGCCCATTCTTGATACATGTCATCCTTTCCGCTTAACATTGTGTTGATCGGCTAGATTCGTTTTTCAACGTTTCGAAATCCAAAAAAAACTTAAAATTAATTAATCAACTAACAAAAGTATCATTATATTGATGCCGACATTAATGTTGCTGGTGGTATAATGCAAGATTATTTTGAATTCATGAAAAAACCATTAGTAATGACCAAGAAATATTGAAATTTACTAATAAATCGGAAAGGGTCCATCACAATTTCAACGTTAAATCCTATTTGTTCACACGATTAGGAATTTTTTTTAAATAGTCTATTAAATTAATATGATTGAAATTTATCATGATGAATGCTCACAACAACGTTTTAAACCTTCGCCACAACAATGCTGAAGGAATTTAGGATAAAATTTATAAAAACAACCATTAATTAATAAAAAAAAACACAGAGGATATTAATTTCAGTAGAAAGATCTAATGTCACGTCAAGGAATTCATAATATTTTCATATTGCCAAATTACATAATTGCATTTAGCATTATTTTTACATATTAATAAATAAGGAGGTAAAGTTTGATGAAAGACATTTTGTTGCATATATAAGATGAATTAAGATAAGCTGAAGCTTGAGTACTAGTATGTCAATTGAACAGGTTATCGTCAAAATAATGATTTTTTCAACTTTTAATTTTTATATTTGGCATCGCCAGATTCCAAGGTTTTTTTTTTGATAGATTTCTATCTAAACTTATTTTTATTTAGGTTGTGTGTAAAGACGGAATCAACAGTGATTTAAAATTTATTATGGTTACTTCTTAATATACACAAGTATAACAATTTCAAGTAGCGAATGTTTTACAAGATGCTGTTACTAACTTCATAACTGTGATTATTGTTACACTTGTCATAATTCTTGATGTTGTATAACAGCAATAATATATATTAGGGTTTCCAGTTGAAACTAGATGAAATTGCTCAAAGTATTTTGACACTGTAAAGGGGTGCTATATACACTTATTATTACGTTTTAATAGTTAATAGTGAGTGCCATAATTAATTTCTACTTTCTACCATCAAAATTAAGGATACCGGCTGCGACTTTTGATGAAGGTTGCTACCATCTTTGCGTCATATAAAATGATTGCAACCGCCTTTACGACCATTTTGTTTCCTTTTTTGGATTGTGACATGGAACACTAGTAATATGCAGTGTTTTAGTACTGATGCTTTTGTTCATTAAAGTTATGGTTGAACCCAAAATGACCATGTACCACATTCTGATCAACAGTTAAGTAAGATATATATTTAGTACATGCAAAGTGCATTTATTTAGTATTCAAGATGAGGCAGTAAGAGGACAGATCAACTATGTTCTTGGTGAAGATGAAATAACAGCAAAAGGTCCTAATGGTACATTTATAGTTTGGTCTTTAGAGGTTGAACAAAGGTGAGAAATGTTTGAAAATTACCTGTGATAATGCTGGTGACAAAATAAATATTTAGCAATTTGTGGCTATTACGGTGCAGATCATCTATAATCATTAATTGCTTATAGTAACAATTGGTCAACTTCAAAATGCTAAAACAAAAAAAAAATTATATCATTTTAAAAAATTTAACCGATAAGTTTTATTGTTCATGGCTCAAGCTTCAAAACTTATCGGCTGGTTTTTTCTTAAACTGAAATTGGCTGAGCCTTAGCATTTTGAAAATTCCGAATTTTGTTATACACTTAAGAAATTGAGACTAAGTAAATTTCGTGTAACAACTTTTTTTTCATAGAATATTTTCTACAACATACATTCGATTTATTTGACTTATTTATTTCCTTTTTTTTATTAATAAATAAAAGTTCTTTACTACAAAAAAGTTTAACGAACATATTACATTAAAAGAAAATCATTACCAAAGTTGGTCGAGAGATTCAAAATATTGTAACACGAAAATTAAAAGATAAAACTAGCTTCCATAGCTTTTGCGTAAAGTTTTCATTTGATAACTAAAATTAGTTGACCCTGGAACATAAAGTGTCGAATCCTTATTGATGATTTTATCTATAATGCACCACGTTATCGATATAAGAAATGTTCGAGATTAGTGGCAAATGAATGAGTTTGTGTTCAGCAAAAGAAAAACTTGGCTCCTTGGGAATAACTGATGAAACAAAGGAGAGATTAAAAAAAAAAGATCTTGGAATATACAAGTTTTTTTTGTGAACTTTTATATTTTACTAACCTTTAAAGCAATTTTGCTTACGTCATTTTTGACTTAATGGCAGCGAGTTTGACGTAATAGTTTTACAACTTTGGTAACATTTCGTCAAACAACATTACTTTGTAGTACCTAATATTAAACAATCTCTAATAAAATTGTCAACTGTTTGATATCAAAAAGACTTGACCGCCCTTTATTTGATTATCAATGATAAGGTTGACTCCTGAGAAGTACCAGAAAAATTTCTTACAAAAAGGAAATCAGCCGGCCAAGCTAAGCCAAATCAGCTTAGCCGGCCGACATCACTAGTTTTATCAAGTGAAAAAGAATTATTTTATTTTATTAAATCATTTAGTTGTGAAAATGCTTTTTTTACAGAACAGAAAAGAAATAATTTAGTATTAATTCTTGCTCTTGTTCTTATGAGCGAAGCACTGAAATATTAAACAATTAATTACAGCCGAACCTTGGTCACAGCGGACCTCTTCCATAGCGGACTATAATTAAATTCTTGTCCCGTTCATCCGCTGACAAGGTTTGACTGTAATTAACTAGTTAGTTAACAACATAATCACCTGTTGTATAATAAACTTTTATGTTGATCTTTCCTTTTGAAAAATCAAGTATCTTTTGTTCCACTAATTTAATTAATAAGTAAGTATAATATTTAATATTAATTAAATATAAATATTAAAGTCTCGGCAGATCGTATTTTAAGCATGTGACCTAGTTTCTTTCGTCTTCACATCATCCTCGTTACTAAATTTAGCATTAATGATGAGCATAAAACTTGTAATGTTGAGTTGTGGAGTAAAGAATTTTATGACCAAAGTAGAGATTGTTTAATTCTCCTATTCACAATGTTAATAATAGATTATTCCGAAGTAACTCCGAGCAATATTTAGTTGTAACAATTAAATTTAGAAATCGAATTTGACAAATATATTTAAATATTAATATAGTAAATATATTAACAACGACCCGTGTGATTCGTTCACCCACTAACCGTGAATGGCCTGATT